CAGTGTTGGTCAGATGTCAGAAATCTAATGGAAATGATTAATAACATGACTTTAATATTGCACAGTTCGGGTAACGTTACTTGCAACTTAGTTTTCCACGTTATAAATTAGAATTCAACTTTACAACCTAATTCTAAGTAGTTGAGTAGTTGGATAGAATCTATTATTCAAGAGGTTATGAGTTCGAGTTCTTTTTTAAGTGTTAATGAGGATAGCCATTAGAGCTCTTACTCAGCCAATAATTTTAGGGTCTTGAAGAATTAATTGGAGTACGTAAAAGTTGGTCTGAACATCTCGGTGAACACAAATAAAAAATAAATAAAATCAACATTACACCTTATATGTCTAAAATAACTATTTACTCCATGTAGTCAGTGTTCCGCTAGAGTTTTGGGGTGTGTTATTTACCTGACAAGAATCCTAATGGAATAGTAACGATAAGGGTTGAATTGTTATTTGAGACACCTGAAGAAAATAATGTTATTCAATGATGCCCTCTATAAAATTTGATATTTTGAAATTTGATTGAATGATGCTAAAACTTAGGAAAAATAAGAGAAAATAATATAAATTTGTATTTATAAATGATTCAATATATAATAATAAAAGTAGGGTAATACCACTAAAATTGGAGTACAGTTAGCATTGAGTTTGTGTCCATTTTGAAAGGGAAAAAAATATGTGCATCATGAGCAATAGACCACAGTCCACACCATGTGTCGGCAAATTTGATGCGTGGACAATCACTTAAAGACAATCACTTAAACTGCCTGTTATCACTGGGTTTCTTATTTTTATTTTTTTATACTAAATTTTAGTATTTATTCAAAAACTGCTTTTGAGATTATTTTAGCCAAAAATATATATCCTTTCTTAATGTAAAATTGTCACATCTCACTAAACGAATAAGTATGAGTTCAATTTATAATGATTGATTCCATAAAAAATTGTACATCTCACATAGCTAATGTCCATTGATTTTGCCAAATTTACCACGCCAACGGTGACAACCTCTTCCCATCACCAGGAAAATACTCTCTCAGCCTCTTGACAAAAACCCATCTATCCCACCCCCATTCACCTTGACAATCGCTAGCAAAAGCCAGTTGTTACCGCCGCTTTTTTTTTTTTTTTTTTATTTCTGGTCTAATTAACTCACAGAAATCAATTTATTGCACATTGCATCACCGACACTTTCTTTAAAACTAAATCCTGATCTTCAATGTTCGTCGATTATTATCTTAAATTCTAAGGTTATGGTGAAAAGGGAAATTATAACTTAGCCGTGAAGGTCAGGTCTCGGTTTAATTAGTCGCTAGGCGAGTTTTAAAATACTGGGTGAAAGGTCAAGAGCAAAGTGTAGGCTTGGTCTTAAAATAATAATATTACTTAGTTGACGTGGATTTAAAACGGTGCGACATGTGTGATACCTCATAAGAACAGGATGTCGGTAAAAGCATTTTGGTTGAAATCTAAGGGCATTTTTGGTGAAGAGGATCTGACAAAAACATGCAAAAGAATACGGAAAATATAATGTATTTCCAAAAATTGGTGAAATTGTAATGGAGGAGAAAGAAAGAAAGAGAAATAAATTGCAAAAGACAATGAATATTTTGTTTGAGTTGAAAATGTATTTTCAAAGGCCCCTCCTAAGACTAAGAAAGACAACCACGGAAAATGTCTTTAAGTAGGGTATGGTTTTGTTGTGGTGTCAATGAAACCCCATTTTATATTCTACAAAAATATTTTCTTTTTCCATGAGTAAAATAATTATAAAATAAAAAAAATTAATTGAAGGGGAAGACAAAAAGGTGTCAAAATCAGGTGGTTTCAATTCCAACTGTTAATGTCTTATCAAGTTATGTCCATTTGTAGCTACTGTCTTGTTAAAGAGTCACTTTCCAAATGCTTGGAATGTATACATTCTCCAGAATGTTTTGCCTTTTTTTTTTTTTAAAGAAATAAATTTGTGAAAGTATATGGTAATTTTATGAAGTTTAAATGGCCAATATCTATTTAATTGGTTGGAGCTTCTTTCTTTTTTTTTTTTTTTAGTATCCGGATATCCAGGCCATGTAGGCTATCTGTCTTGTTAAGAGTCACTTTCCAAATGCTCTGGAAATGTTATTACATTCTCAGAATGTTTTCTGCTTTTTTTTTTCAAGAAATCAATTTGTGAAAGATATGGAATTTTATGAAGTTTAAATGGCCAATATCTTTTAATTGGTTGGAGTTTTTTTTTGTATCCGGATATCCAAGCAACTTAGTGTACCTCGACTATTCCCTATGGTCTTGAAGTTAGGCCAAGTAAGCCTCAGTGGTCATCCTTATTAGTAGTTGTAGGATTCGAAACTCGAACCTCTTGAATAATCACTAAGAGTTCTGAACGAATCGCTAAACTTCTAGAGATAATTGGTTCGAGCATATTATGAGCTACATAGTATCTATTTTTTTTTTTAAAAATTGTAATTAAATTAATGAAATAAAAAAAATAAAAGTTTTTGGATGGTGATGAATGGATGATATTTTCTTCTAAATTATTATTTATTTATTCTTTTATTTAGGTACATATTATAGAAATTAAATGGCAAAAAATATGAGTGGTAATGGAAGTTTAGTTTAAAGATTGGTGAGGGTCCGTTTCAAAGAATTAAATATTGGACAAAGATATAAATAAGTTTCAAGTAATGTGTGTCTCCAAGGTAGTTAGAAAGCCAACTATTATTTATCTTTTTTTTTTTTTTTTTTTTAACTCTAAATTTAAAAACAATTATAATAAAAGCCCATCACAAATTGATGTCTTTATGGATAAATATAAATGAGAATAATTAATTTAACTTTCTATCAACCCAACAAAATTGATTGGTGGGCTATTAAAATCAAAGTACATTAATTGAATTAAAACTTTATGTTTTAACAATCTATATTTGACTCTTTCATTCCTTTTTATTGTTCTCTCAAAAAATTAGCATACTTTAAATCTATCAAAATTAGACCAACCAAAGTTTATTCAAATGCTTAATGTTTTGGCTTTCCATAAACCTTTTATTATCACATTATCTTGTCCTTAATCACAACTCACGTTTCTTTTCTTTTCTTCCTTAATCCAATCCCCAAACTTTGCTTAATCACCCACTAACCACAAATTAGAAAATAAAAATAATCTCAATTTTATCTTAATCTTAACAGAGACACAGTTGGTTGAAAAATGAATTAATATTATTCATTCTACCTTGATTTTTTAAACATAATCATTGTCCATTTCTGAAATAAAAGAGTAATATTACCCAATAACCATTCTCACTACTTTTACAACCTCATGTGGTAGTTGAGTTGGTATGTCACGTTAATCCACCACACCTAAGCAAAAATGATTTGATTAGACCTAAGAAATGACCTTCGCTTTATAATGAACGACCTTTCTCAAAGAATGAATGATTGTTTCTTAGAAGGTATGACATTCTAAGGTATGCAATCCTTTCAATAAGGTATAACATTCCTTCATAAAGAATGATGTTTTTATGAAAGAGGACGTTCGTTTCAACTTTTTGCTACGTTAGGGAGGGTTGTAAGAGAAAGTTGTGGATTGAGTTGTAAACTAGTTTTTTTTCGTAACAAAAACTCTTGTCCTTACAATTCATTATGAATTAATAAATATTTGTTGAAATCACTTTCTTATGTATATTTTAACGATTAAAATTTAACGAAAATAATTTTTGTTATTTCAAAAACCTTAAGAGAATTTTGTTATTAATAAAAACTGAAGGGTATATTGGTAATGAGATTAAAAGTGAAGTATTTTAAAAAAATTGACCTTGTAATTTACAGTAAAATTACCGGACCAAATCTGGTCCCGACCCAAAAATCAGGGAGGGTACTTAACAACCAGTAACGGAAGAGTCATAAGTTGACACAAAGGCAATGGACTAATTGAGTTAACCATGGTTAATGGAGTAAACCATGGTTAGTTCCGGAGAGTTAGGGGGCTTGGCAAAATGAACTTACCACGGTCAAATGAATCTGGTTAGGCTCCCTTGATTTCAGAGCAGTACGTAAAAGTCGCGAATATTTTTCAAAATGTCGCGATGCGAGTTGAAACCAAAATCTCCTTTTTCGGGATTATCATTTTTTATTTTATTTAAAAAAATTTATATTATTAATGTTTAAGTAAATTCCATGTTTTATTTTATTTTATTATGGAGACTTCCTTTATGATTATGTGGGGATTTGCCCCACCCCTCACCCCAACTTCCTTCTCTAGCGCGTGGACTCACTCTCTTTCTACCATTTTAGATATTTTTACCTTTTTTTTTAAAATTATTAAAAATTTATCTAATCATATAATACAATGGTAAATGTTGATGATAGGAACTTATGGAATAAAAAAAGAAAAAAAAATCAAAATTCTATTTATTTCTTTAATACTATTGCGCAATAAAAGAATTACAAATTGTATTTATTTTGATATGAAATGAGTTAATTGAATAACAAAATTTTGATGTAAATATAATCCTAACAATTATACAATCTCATAAAATTAAATAAAAAAATTATCGGATAACCCACTTTTCAAAAATCTTTTCCTTCTCTTCGAGTTCAAACATCAATTACAACGATTCAATAAATAACTTATTGGGATGGATATAAATGAAAATACCCGATTTTCTCCTATGACTTGTAAAAATGATTCGAAATTAGAATGTTTAATATCTGATAGATACATCAAATTATTACATCGATATTAAGAAAAGATTACACTGGTAGTAAATAGCACGCGCTTAGTGAGGGCGGGGGTGAGAAAATAAGTTTGGCTAAAAAGATCAGGTAAAATCACCTGAACTTGGCTTTAGCAGTGGACTGAAGTGATCCAAAACAAAGAAAGTAAAACAGAAAAAAGCAAAAAAGAAAAAAAAAAAAAAAAACAAAAACACTTTTTCGTTTTCACTTTATTTATTTCTATTTTCTCTTTCCTCAGCAAACCTCTCTTTTTAACACTTAATTTGAGTCTGGTCGGCAACCCAACGAAACGAAGCTTCACACCTCCAACACACACTCACTGTCTCTCTCTCTCTTGTTTTTCTTTTCTTTAAACTTCCACTATTGACTCACTTCACCAAACGCCTCTTTCACTCCCTTTTCACACACAAAAGTGGATTTCTGTTAGGAAAAGTTTTGGTTTCGGTTGTTTTTATGTGAACACGCTGTTTCTTCTCTGTACATTTTGGTGATTCCTTTGGCAGAATTTTCGTTGCAGAGATTAGGTAAAGAGATTGTGTGACTTATTATTATTATTTTTTTTTTGGATTTATTTTTATGGGATTTTCGTTTTCTTTGATGGGTTGTTGAGAAAATTGAAGAAAGTTCTTTTTTTGTAGTTGATTTGATAATTCTCATGATAAAAATCTGATCTTTATTATTTTTGTTATGTATTTTTTTTTTTTTTTTTTTGTGATATAGCTGACAAATATTTATTTTCATTCATGTTCTAGAAGTTTTTTGACTGAGGGCTAGTGTTGAGCAAAGAGGAGGAAAAATTTGTATGCTGGAAAGGCTGTAAGTTAGCAATGATTACAGTTATGGATGCGGCAAAGGACTCGTTGAAGAAGAATCCAACAACAGAAAGCTGTTTAGATGCACAACTATGGCATGCCTGTGCTGGTGGTATGGTTCAAATGCCATTAATAAACTCTAAAGTGTTTTATTTTCCTCAGGGTCACTTAGAACATGCTAAAGGGAACATAGAATTTTCAAATCTTAACCTCCCTGCGATGATCCCCTGTCGAGTAACTGCCATAAAGTATATGGCAGATACTGAAACTGATGAGGTTTTTGCGAAAATTAGGCTGATTGCAGTAAAAAACAATGGGTTGGATGATTTTGAGGATGTGGGGTTTGATGGAAATGGAGGAATTAATGAGTGTAGTGAAAAGCCGGCGTCTTTTGCTAAGACTTTGACACAATCTGATGCAAACAATGGTGGGGGGTTTTCTGTTCCTCGCTATTGTGCTGAGACTATATTTCCAAGATTGGATTATAGTGCAGAGCCTCCTGTTCAAACCATTCTTGCAAAGGATGTGCACGGTGAAGTTTGGAAGTTTAGGCATATTTATAGAGGAACACCTCGTCGTCATCTTCTGACGACAGGGTGGAGTAATTTTGTAAACCAGAAGAAGCTCGTTGCTGGAGATTCGATTGTTTTTCTGAGAGCAGAAAATGGGGATCTCTGTGTGGGGATTCGAAGGGCAAAAAAGGGAGGAATTGGTGGTGGATCTGACTATTCTGTTGGGTGGAACTCAGGAGGTGGAAATTGTGGCTTTCCTTTTGGGGGATATTCAGGTTATATGAGAGAGGATGAGAATAAATTAAAGAGGAGAAATTCTAATGGTGATTTGAGGGGGAAAGTGAGGGCTGAGTCTGTTGTTGAAGCTGCAACTCTTGCTGCTAATGGACAACCCTTTGAGGTTGTTTACTACCCACGTGCAAGCACACCAGAGTTTGTTGTTAAGGCCTCAGCTGTGAGAGCTGCAATGCAAATTCAGTGGTGTTCTGGAATGAGATTTAAAATGGCTTTTGAAACTGAGGATTCATCTCGGATCAGCTGGTTTATGGGAACCATCTCTTCTGTTCAGGTTGCTGATCCTGTTCGTTGGCCTAATTCCCCATGGCGGCTTCTGCAGGTAAACTTGTCCTTATTTCTAGTATTGCTATAATCTTTTGTTCATGTTTAATTATTGTGGTTATGAATTTAATAATTTGCTTTCTCAAGTAAGAGGCCATTTTTGTTTTTTTTTTTGTTTTTTGTGCATTGAAAAGCTATATTGATCTGTATTTCCGATGTCTGAGTCTAAAATATGCTATAAGAAATGGAATGTAATATAAGGAAAGGAATTGCATCCATGGCTAGCACATAAATTGTGCTATATTACACTCTGGAGTAAGCAGCATAGCATGCATCTAACTGTTTTTTTATAGTTTAAGATTTCTGAAGCTATAAATTCCTTAAAGCATCTATATGGCATAGAATTTCTGCTGAATATTGCATTAAGTTTTCATCTATTGTCTTGTATCATTTTTCTCTGAAAATATGCTTGGTTCTTATATCTTTTTGCAAATAATTATGTTTCAGGTAGCATGGGATGAGCCAGATCTGCTCCAGAATGTGAAGCGTGTTAGCCCATGGTTGGTTGAACTGGTATCAAACATACCAGCTATCCATCTCTCTCCCTTCTCACCACCAAGAAAGAAATTGCGGCTTCCTGAACACCCAGATTTTTCTTTGATGAACCAACTTCCAATGCCATCATTTTCCAGAAACCTTCTCATGACCAGCAGTCCGTTAAGTTGCATTTCGGACAATATTCCTGCAGGCATACAGGGAGCCAGGCATGCTCAATATGGACTATCTTCAGATCTCCACTTCAACAAGCTGCAGTCAGGTCTGTTTCCAGTTGGTTTTCAGCAGCGTGATCATGTTGCACAACCTGCTAAAATCTCCAGTGGCAATTTTCTGAGTGACACCAGAAATTCTGGGAATATGTCTTGCTTGCTGAGTATGGGAAATTCCACCCAGAGTTTTAAGGACAACAATGAAATAAAGACACCTCACATCTTATTGTTTGGTCAACTCATTCTCCCTCAACAGCATAGTTCTCAAAGCTGCTCTGGTGATACTGTTGGAAACAGTTCATCAGATGGCAATCCAGAGAAGACAGCAATGTCTTCTGATGGCTCTGGTTCAGCAGTTCATCAGAATGTTCCACTAGAAAACTCTTCCGATGAAGGGTCTCCTTGGTGCAAAGATCACCAGAAATCTGATCTTGGTTTGGAGACTGGCCATTGCAAAGTGTTCATGGAATCAGAGGACGTAGGTCGAACCCTTGATCTGTCCGTCCTTGGTTCATATGAAGAGCTTTATGGAAAGTTAGCCAACATGTTTGGCATAGGAAGTGCTGAAATGTTTAGCAATGTGTTGTACCGGGATGCAACAGGTTCTATTAAACACACTGGGGATGTACCCTTCGGGTAATTTCATCTTCTTTACTATTTTTGTTGCCTTTTTTATGTCTTACCAATCCTTTTAATTGGTTATTTAATTTTCAGTCTAGTCTTATAAGGTTATTATCTGTTTGATGTTGCAGTGAATTTCTGAAGACAGCGAGAAGGCTAACTATTCTTACAGATTCAGGCAGTGACAATGTAGGCAGATAGAGATGGAGGATTTTTTGTCAAATGTACAGTTTCGAAGTCCTTTGTTTTGACTTTCGCTTGTTAGTTTTTCTGTTTTGTTTCTCCTTTTTGGAGTTGTGGAGAAGTCCACTTCATCCAATTTTGGGATATTGTAGTTCGCGTTTGTTAATACAGATTCAACTTTGCCCTTGATTTATTCGTTGTTTATCCTATAAATTAGAAGTATGCATGAAGAAAAAGCATTTCTTAGCATATATGGATCACAGGGCTGCAAAATGTTGAATAAGCCTCAACTCTTTCTGGCGAGAGTGGCCTTTTAAGCGTATGCATCTATGAAATGGAGAAAATGTAAAGGTTTATAATCCATAAATTCATTCATTTTCTGCTTTTTGCCTTTATGGAAAATTTCATCCCCGGTGCTCCATGCGCGAGGGAATAAACTATTTTACGTAACATGAAACCATCCCAGGAATTGTTGTTGATGTTCTGGAATTGGTAGTCTTACTATTTTTGTTCTTCCTTGGCAAAACCATGGGAATGTTTCTTAACACAACAGTTTTGAACAGTGAAGGAGTCTGTTTCAGCTTTCTGCATTAAATCACTTTCTAAAGCAAAGTCGGTGCCGCCCACTTTCAACTGCTAGTGTTGTCCTAGTTTGAGCGGTGCAACAACCCTTAAACAAACTGTACCAACTTTTGTAATGTCTTCTGGGAATTGCCTTCCTCTCAAGAATCTCTCATTATCAGCAAACAGTACAGCGTAATCCTTCACTGTGAATCCATTGCCATTTTGTGGATAACAGTTTTCTTCTAGGCATATGTAGCAACACTAAAAAATTGATGTCGCCAACAGATTATTAACAAATAGAAAAGCTAGAAAAAGAACTAGAGCTAGCTACTATAATCAAAACAAAAACATGTCTAGAGCCTAGGTTGAAACTCCATTTGTTAGCCTTTTCCTAGATTTTGTACTTCTTACGGTCAAGACAAAAACAAATTTTGGTTTCATTCTGATCTTGTCCCTCTTAATCTGCCTATACACCACTCTACTTAGCCCTATATCCCTTTAGTCATTTTAATAGACTTGGGTGGCAAAATTTGAAGTTTGAATTGTAACATTGTTCTGTTATCACACAGTAACACAACCAAATCCAAAAACAAACAGTGGTGAAAAAATCTTGGATCTTGTTGCAGAACAGAGCCCAGAGATTCTGGGATGTTTTTGTTGGGATCATGACAAGATTTGATGCAACAAACAAGCCCCTATCCGGGTCTAAAGAAAGATTCCTGAAAAAAACAAACTTAAACAGTTTAAAAAAATCACAGACAAATCCCTATTTACCATGGACAACCCAGATACTCAGTAATTCACAGTTTAACAAACAAATCTTTAATCAAACAAACTGTACATTTTGTCTAGAGATATTGACATTAACTTCACTCTAGCTTAAAACTAAGTGCACAATTAGGAAGTGTTTCCTAGAAGCACTTCCCAAATGTAGCCATTAATTGCAACCAGCTCTAACAACGGTCGAGATACATATATAATATATAAGATAAAAATGAAGATGATTAATATTAATATTAATTTCACAGGGATTTGAAGAAATAAAAAAAGAAGCTAAAAAAATGAAGGGGGATTAACCATGGTTAAGAAGGGTGGGAAGTCAAAGGTTTGAAGTGGGTTTTAATTAAGTTGCACGAGGCAGACAAAGATTCGTGAGTCAAGGAAGGAAAATAAAAAACCCTAGAAAAGCCATTCGATTTGATTAGGGTTAGGGTTAGGGTTTGGCCCTTTGACTTGCATTATAACGTTTACATTACAACAATGAGCTGCTATTATGGCACATGATTCAAGTAAGATCGTGTACCATTGTTGCCTCTGTCAACTTACAGAGCATGTATTAAGGATCTTGATCCCATGAATTTGATATTTAATATCTTCTTCCCTTTTTTACTTTCTCATTTTATTTATTTACTATTATGTTTTGTACACGAACCCATCTACGGCCGAGCGGGGGCTATTGACTCCACTAAAAACAATATATTCTTTTGTGAAAATGTTGACACAATTTTAACTTTAAGGGGTTGGTCTGACGGTTAAGGAAGTTTGTTTCATTCCTTGAGCATGTATCGTGGCTTATCTCGTTTTTTGATCTTATAGGATCAATGGACTTAAAAAATTAATTGAAATACGTGTAAACTGATTCAAATATCCTAAGTACCTAAGATGTTGATACAGTTTTTCAGTTTAGTATAACATTACTAGATAAAAAAAATTAACAATTTTCAAATAAGATATTTTAATTAAGAAAAGAAGTAATTATAATGAAAATAGATTGAGAAATCCATGAACCCAAATGGAGGATCTTCTTCAACATATGAATTGAATAGACAAGAATCAATTTAAATCGGTGAAGCTCAACTTTTAAGAACACAGAGATCCCTAGAGTAATGTGCTCTACGTTGCCGTTTTGATGCCGGAGTCTTCTTCCTATGTATGAATCATCATCATCATTGTTCACACTTTCAGCTCGCAATTTTGGACGTGGTGGGAATGTACATATGAACATAAAAAATTTTTAATATTTAATTTAATATTTATCGACATTGACATTAGGATTAAGAATAATTATATCAATAATATGAAATAAATAAAAATAATAACATGTGATATAATAGGAGTTTTCAGAGTCTCTTAATTTGACCATTAATTAAGCTTAAAAAATATAAAAGAAAGGGTTGGGAGTGACTCATGTTGTACGAGATTTTAAAAGGGGAAAGAGATGGGAAAATAGCGTTGAAACTCGTAGGTAATTAGTTTATTAATTAAAGACTTAATGGGACTAAGCTAAGCTGTTTAAATAGAATTATTTTAATGAACAAGATCCAAGAAATTTTCATAATATATGATGATGAGTCAACACAGAAAATCAGATTTCCGACATGGGAATTGGAAATCTCCAACCTGTCTTTTTATTGTTTTTGCGTTTTCTAAGTTATAAACAAAACATTGGAAACATGGAGCAATTGGGGTTTTGGTATTGAGTCAACTAAGAGTTGTCAAAATGTGCAAATTTGTCAAAAAACAACATCGTATTCGTATCACTTTGTAAATATAATGTAAAATGGGTTGTTTTCAGATTTAAAATAAGGAAGGGTAACCAGAGAAAGCATGTTCATCTTCACCAGATTTCTTCATATTACATTAAATAAATGCATGGTTGTTCTGATTAAAGATTTTATTCATACTACGTGATGGATCCTGAAGAAAAGGGGAATTCCTTGAGTTATATTGCAATATGATCCCTTTGATATCTCTTATTAAAGGACTCAGTGTGAATTTGGTTGGATTGAGAGTTGATTAATTTGGAGGTAAGGGCAGTGGAGTTGGTCAAAATTCACCTGAATGAACCATGTTTGATGACTTGATTAAACATGAAGAAAATCAAGTAAATATTCAACACCAACCCAATTTCATTTGAGACTAATATTGTCACCTAGTATTGCAAAAAGAATAAATGTCTCTCGAATTTCTGGAAATGATATCAGAAACAGAAACTAATGTCCAAATCTTGCAAAGAATGGGTCTATTCTAGCTGAGCTGATCGTGACAAACTCCAGTCAAATTTGGCGGTGAGAAAACCAATGATCATTATACCTTCGCCGTAAAGCATTTCAACTTCTGGGTTTGTCAAATTAATCGCCAAAAAAGAAAAAAGCCCCTAAAAATAGTTTATTCAAGTTAAAAAGTTGTGTCATTTCAACATCCTCAACAACATACATCAATTGGAGCAAATAAACACTTGGCAACAAGATGCATTGCAAATTTTGAATTCGTAAGGCACCTATGCCTATGCACAAAGTGTGTATTGAATCTTGCAATGCAGCTTCCATACAAGTTCTTCTAATGTACAACATGGATGCAAGTTTGGTGTCACTCCGGAATATATGCACTGGATGAAGCCCTTTTTTTGAAATATTTGACGACATGAACATACTGCATAACTCTAATCACTCTAGAACCGGGAATGAACCAAACTCAAAAGGCTACAAATGTTGACAAAACAAAGCACCAAGCACCATACTTGGAAAGTATAGTAGATCCCAAATCAACTCTGCAACCCGGCCGCCTCTCAAGACAACCTGCATAAGGTCCACCATTCCTAATCCCCAATCAACTCAGGACCTCCTCAACCGTTCAGAATATAAAACAGGTTCCTTTTACCAATAATATTAATAATAAAAGTGGGTGTGAACATGCCTGTGAGAAAGAGATGCATCTACTATACATAATAGAGATTAGTTCAACAATGATTCCAAACCTATCTCATCCAGGATAAGAGGCAGTGTATTACATCTTCTTCACAAAGATTGATCAACCATTACCTCAAACATTGACTATTTTCCTGGGATGTAAATACTCCAACTAATAATGAATAAATGATGATCAAACGATCAACTCATTTGAGAATGTATGTACATGTCAACTGAGAAAGCTATCAGATATGACAAACCACAATCAGAGCACGATAAAAAAATCAACCCCACAAATCTTGTGATTGATGTGGAAATTGAATAGATGTTAGTAACTCATAGGTCAATACACCATACCAGGCAAAAATAAAGCGCACACCTTTCCCTTGGAAGCCATACTCATCTTCATGCATAAATCATACCAACTATTGATTGATAATAAAGATCTTTTCATACCAATGAAAATAGAATAATACAGAAAATAACCATCCATATTAAATCAACATGAACAAGCTAATACAAGTTTTCGGGAGTATAATATGTGCTATCATACAAGACATTACTTATAAAATCGGCCCTGCCAATATTATCTAACAAGACATTACTAGCAAAGTTGTCCTTCCCACTTCCGACATGCCTTGCTTATTATATCATCACTTACCTGGATATCAAAACAAAAAAAGCAAATAACAAATATTAGTTTCAGCCTCAAAATGTGGTTATGCTTGAAAACATGCATATTCTTTAAACTAGGAAGAAGATTTGCACAACGTAACAAAGTTGCTTCCAAAGGGAAAGTCCAAAGGTAGAGAAAGACCATATTAATAATCAATGTAAAGAACCAGAAACAATTGCTTCATAATCTGTAAAATAACAGTTGTGTTGAAGGTTTAATATGCCATAACAAAAGAAGAAGGAAAGATGAAAACAAAAATTTAGCACCAAACTTTTCTATTCTTCCTTCCTTTCTTTTTCTTTTATTTTCTAATAGGAAAGAATTAGTGTTTGTTCAGAGGCAGAAAAAGATATTAAAGCATGTGAAATTGCCCATCCAAAAAATGATAATCTGCCCAACTGGTAACGACCACCGATGTTATAATTCATAACTTTCTTTTCCACTTCCTGAAGATCAAGAGCTCATTCATTCGAGTTTAATTTGGAGATAAACAACATCCTAGATAGACTATCTAACCATCCAAATTATACGATTAATGCAATTCTCAAGTTATATAATTTTAAATGATTATCAATAAGAAATTTTGGGAATAAAGCAGAGACAACAGTACTGGTAATCCAAAAAAAAAAAAAAAAACAAAAAAAGAGAATTATCAGTTATGATTAATAGTTTCTTCATTATCCATTTTACTTTTGCAATCTTTCACAGATCAAATGAAGATGTATTCATCATAAGATCGCAATCAATTCAAGCTAAGGTGTAGGATACATAATTGTCCTCTCCCAATATTTTCTTTCCTCTTCGGGCAACAATGTCAGACCAACACATTATTTCAAGTAGACCACTAGGATTAGGAAAAACCAAAATCATACAAGCTGAAATATACAGGGGTATTAATCTGAATATCAAGTATCAACTATAAATCTGACAACAACATATTTCAAACATGTTTAGCTTAAACCAGTCAACGAGAGAAAGTAGAATCAGTGTTTTATAAACTGGACTAGTACTTAAGGTCCAACCCAAAGACTGCAACAAAAGCTGAATTGCCAATCAAGTGTTCCATCAAAATCCAATGTACATCAAACTATTCTCCCTTTTCGTTGGCCTGATACCTTCGGTGAGTGGCATGACAACACTTCATCGCTCAACTTAAAAACCAAAATAAAGTAAAGTAATAGTTCTAGCTCCATGAATGAATTCTTTCAAGTTAAGGAATTAGATTCAAACACTCCAATACTATTTCATTATTAAATGTTTTAATATAGTGTCTTGTGCTTTACTATGTTGATTATGGCATATTTGCCCATATTTTCTTACTTTTATGGCCAAAGTCTGTTTTGCAGAACAAGAATATAAAGTAATTTTCTAATTTGAATTAATATACATTTGAATTGTTGGATCTATAAAATAGTTTTGTATTAAGATTAGAGTTTTCTTTGCCTTATCATGTCAATAGAGAATTACCCTTAAATAAAAAAGGAAAGCCGCATGGATTTTATGTGATCACTCATAAAACTTTCGAAAATGCTAGAAAATATCAAAATTTAATGTAAAAAATAGTTAGCTAAATAAGTTTTATAATAAAGAAAACAAGTAACAGTTTCTAAGAACAAGAAAATATTTTGGAAAAAAGCAAACGTACATTCTTTTAACTCCTTGCTAAATATTTTTTCCCATCAAAATCATGGTAGAAGCTTCTTCTGTCTCAATAACTCTATTCACAACTAAACATCATGACTGGGAAAAGCAAGCACGATTCACAAATATTACCGTTACTTTGAGCTAAATTGCTTTGTTACTCCATTACTTCACAGTAGATTACATTCCTGAATCCAGCAATTAAGCCTACTCTATCTACTCATACAACACCTCTATGATTTTGTTAATTCATGTTTTTTCAAGAGACAGAACCCTGATAAATAACTATTTAACCTTCTCTTTTAATTCCCTCTAATGCATCACAATTAAGCAGGCATACAAAAACATTAAAAACCAATAATCCACAATCTTCAACACAAGAAATTAAAAGCACAAAAACCAAAACCTCAATAATATAAAACAAAATTTGCCATGAAATTATGCTTAGTTGAATTACAATCCCACTGCTACGGTTCTAAATTCATCAGAAGCCTCAGTAGACCCGCTTGAAGTTCAAAAATATTTATCTAATTAGGCGTGTTCTTGTTGAAAAAGCTCCTCATAAAGCACCTCCAAACATTCTCTCAAAAACTAATCATTAAATTCTTCAAAAGACCAAAAAAGAGAAAATTCAAACGGCTATTAATAATAATAAATTATTATATCTTATTCCAAAGAGTGTTTGTTAAATTAAACATTATAAACTAGACTACAGCGCTTTTCGATGTCAAAACACTCCCAAGAACAAACCCCAACTATCCACAATCCACGCAGACAAAATAAAAAAAAAAAAAAAAGATGTATATCTGGAAAACAGAAAATTAAACAAAAAATCGAAGAAAATAAGAAACAAGAGGACGACCTCCTTTGGTTTCCAAATTCTTCAGAAGCCTACGTTTTCACGAATTCACTATCAAGTGATACAAAAGAAGAAAAATTACTGCAACTACTAATTAATTCCAATTAATGTTTTATTTATTCAAACATCATCAACTAGAAGAAACCCTAACAATCCATAATTCAAACAGACAAAAACAAAAACAATAATCAAAGGGAGAAACCTTAAAATGTTTAGCTGTAGTAGAGCTCAAGGCCCATGCCATCATGGATCTCGTAGTCTTTAAGAGTGATGTGGTCCTTGTAGATGGTGTACCACTTCTGAATCCGAATTTTGTCGGATCGGGTGCCGGTTTGAGCGGCCACCAGCTTCTTCAAGTCGCCGATGGTGTCGTCATCGTTGCACTTAACGCGGACCTTCTTCCCCAGTCGATCGTTCAACACCACCTCGATCATCTTCTTTTCCCTGTCTTTCCTTCTTGAAGTTCTCTGTCTTTTCTTGTGGCTTTCTTCTGATTCTCTTCTTTTTGCTTTGTTAGGTCTTTTTTCTTTTTAAAAAAAGTTATCTCAACCGCCCTCGCGCGTATGCGCTGACGGCCCAAAATAAATACCACGTCGTATGAGGATTCCAGTTTGACTCAAGTCAAAATCATCTTTGTTACATAAATAGGAAAATAATTTGTATTTGAACCGAAAAGATTATATTTCGTATAAATTCAGCTTTGACATTTTTAGTACGATTTTTTAAATACCTTTGTAATACGTAACAAGAATTTGATGATGTTATGCCTAAAGAACGCAGGCCCGACGTAAGGTACGGTCAGTATACAAAAGTTAGAACCTGGGTACACCCGCAGCTGAGTCACGTGAGGAAAGGAGCACTATGCTTTTGTCAGAATAGTGGGAGCGTGCCAGGCCAGCCAGAAGTTGTGGTGATCCCACGTGTCCAATCCCTGCGCCAAATCGCGTAAATCACTCTAGAAGGTGGGCAATGTGACATAAAGAAAGATTTGCACGGATAATCTCACCAACTCACAGATTCAGTAATGATAACCTTAATCCATCCCACTATAAATTGAGAGCTTCTCTCTCATTTAAGGGATTAGCTACTCTCTCTCAAGAATATATAGCATTCTCTCTCTTGTATTATCATTTGTAAGTCAGTCCGCTAAAGCGACCTGACCCCTATCATTAATACAAATATCAAGTGGATGTAGGACTTGCTTCCTTAGCATCCGAACCACTTTAAAAGCTGTTCCTATTGCATTTACCCTCATTTTTTCTTGCATTCACGTGTGTCTTCTGAGCCAGCTCAGCATTTCACACGTGTGTTTTGTTAGTATCAAAATCACGCATCAACAGTTTGGCGCTAGAAGGAGGGCCTGATTTAGTGTTTATCCTTCATCAGGAGAATCTCTAACTTACTGGTCCTATAACAGCAAATGACCCACCAACCTGAACCTGAGCGAACCAACCAGGGTGCTGGGGGGATACCCCAAGTCTAAGAGGACACCTTTTCCCAAATACCTTCGGTTCCGCAAAATATCGTAGAGGATATCCCATCAAGTTCACGACTTGACCCTGGCATTAGAAGCTACTTGGAGGGGTTCGACAATACTCTCCAGAAGGTCAACCGAAGGTTAGACCGTTTGGACCAAGGGGTGCCAACCAAATTAGCTGGGGCGGTGCAACCGACAAAAATGCCTGCAGGTCGCGCGAAAGCTCGGTGAAGGGAGATAGCCCGTGCCGCGAGCACCGCGGCGCGTCGACGAAAGGGTAAGCAAGTGGCAAAAAAGGGGCCTACGGGCTAGCGAACACCGACCACGTCCCGAGCAGAATACCGGTGGCGTTAAGACTCGGTGAAAGGACACAGCCCGAGCTGTCCCATGCCATGTCGCAAGTACACCCCAATAAAAGTGCTAGGCGGGGCGATTCTTATCACCACCAGCAGAATGATCCCGATCGTCATCGTGCGGGAGGCTCCCACACTTCGTGGGGCGGTTCATACCACCGCGAAGGTCATGAAAATACCCCGCATCATTCATCGCCATCAGACGCCTCCAGCCAGCGTGTGTTGAGAGCAACCGGGGCTGCCGGCCGAGGCGAAGAGGAATCCGACCTTCGGACTTTCCTCAACCGTAATCGCGAGGGTCGAACTTGCATGGGTGAAAGTAATCCCCAAGTGGCTCCATTGCCTTAGATTGAAGAATTGTATCGAGCTCTAGACCGACTAGTAGCTCAGCAAAATGAGTAAGGGCAGGTCGTGTCTACGTCCCCTTTTTCTCCCGAAGTGCTAGCCGCTCCACTCCCATCAGGATTTAGAATGCCCGACATGCGGGCGTTTGATGGAAATTCTGATCCGCAGGATCATTTATATGAATTCAACGACCTGATGGAGCTTCACCTGGTCTCAGATTTAGCAAAATGTCGTTGTTTAGCAGTGACTTTAACCCCTTATGCTAAACGGTGGTTCAGGTCACTCCTAGCGGGATCGATCGGTTCGTGGCCTCAGATGAGCGCGACGTTCTTAAGGCATTTCCAAGCAAATCGAAAGTTCTCGATGCTTTTGAGCTACCTCAGCAACATAAGGCAAAAGAGGGATGAATCCCTCCAATCGTACATTGATCGATTCCACAAAGAGCTTAACAAGGTAGCTCACACTCCCGAGGAGTCTATTCAGACTCTCATCATAGCGGGAGTTCACCCACAGACCGACCTGTGGAAAGAGTTACAGGCTGAGAATGATGTTTCCCTCACCCGTTTCTATAACCTTGCGGAGAAATACCTTCGTATTGAAAGTTTCGTGGCGGCTCTGTCTCTCCGACCATGACGCTTCGGGTAGTGCGTCTGGTCGGGAGGATAGGAGAGTTGATCGCAGATGGGCTACTGACGATCAACGAAAAGGAAAGAAACCGCGCTATGAGCCCAAAAAATCTTATGCTCCCGTTCCTCGTCGTGATCGCGACAAAAATCAATATACGCCTTTGAATGCATCTGTATCGGCCATCCTTGATAAATCAGAAGAGGCCAACCTGCTCGGAGAGCCTGAGCCCATGAAAAATCCCTCGTCAACCATAAATAGTAAAAAATACTGTCGCTTTCATTGGGATAACGGGCATCACACCAATGAGTGTCGAGCTCTCAAACAGGCAATCAAATAACTCATGAAGAAGGGGCATTTCAAGGAATATATTGACGACTCTACTCCCGTGCAAGAGAAAAGTCAAGGGGAACAAAGAAAGAAGTGTCATGATCGCAAAGGCATGTGCAGTGTCAACATGATCTTTGGAGGGCCGCACCTCACAGGGAACACACGAGGTGCCCAGGAAAGATACGCTCGCTCAACTCATCACGACCCCATCAATGTGATGAGCACGACGCAGCGACCACAAAAGGTCTGCAAGGGGGAGGAAATTTCCTTCTCTGAAAAGGATGCAGCCCATTTGCATCATCCCCACGACGATGCTCTTGTGATCATGCCCCTCATAGGGCGCCATAACATCCACATAATGTTGGTGGATAATGTAAGTGTTGTGAACATCCTGTTCCAGACAGCCTTTGAAAAAATGAACTTGGACGAGGCTAACCTGAAGCCGGCCTCGATCCCTCTATATGGTTTTACCAGGGACCACCTGATCCCCAAAGGAACAATCTTGCTTCCAGTCACGCTGGGTGACTATGACGAAGTGACCAAGGTAATCAAATTTTTGGTAGTGGATTGCCTATCCGCTTTTAATGGTATCCTGGGGCGACCTCTACTGAGAAACTTCAAGGCAGTCATTTCGATATACCATTTGAAGATGAAGTTCCCTACCCCAACGGGGATAAGGGAAGTTAGCGGGTCTCAGCGCGCAGCTCGCGATTGTTACATAAAAGCAGTACAAATGGCGTGCAAAGGGAAAGACATTTTGCGCGGCATTCCCCGACAAGCTATGGTGATCAGTTGGATCGAGCCACAACCTGGTCCAATCGAGGACAATATGGATCCTCGAATTCATTAAAGTCCTTCCAGTGGGCCAGTTGAGGATCTGTCCGAAGTGTCGGTCAACCTGAGCGAACCGAGCCGAGTGTTAAGGATTGGGAGCAATCTCAACCCCTAGCTCGCCTCTGAGCTGATTAGCTTCCTCAAGGAAAATATCGATGTGTTCGCCTGGTCGCACGCATATATGGTCGGGATCAGCCCGTATATCATCTGCCATGCGTTGAACATCGACAACGAAGCCAAACCAGTTCACCAAAAAAGAAGAGTGATGGATCCGGAGTGATATGCCGCCTTAAAGCTAGAGGTGGATAACCTCCTTCGAAATGGATCCATCCTGGAAGCACTCTACCCGACTTGGGTTGCCAACCCGGTTCTGGTAAAGAAGCCCAATGACAAATGGCGAACCTGCGTCGACTTCACCGACCTCAACAAAGCATACCAGAAAGATAGCTTTCTCCTACCTAGAATCGACCAGCTCGTGGATGCCACCTCGGGGCACGAGCTGCTAAGTTTTATGGACGCGTACTCGGGATATAATTAAATTCTAATGTACGCGTCGGATGAAGAGCATACATCCTTTGTTACAGATCGGGGACTGTACTGTTACAGAGTTATGCCCTTCGGCCTAAAAAACGCTGGCACGACCTACCAGCGGTTGGTTAACCGGATGTTCTCTGAACAGATCGGTAAGTCAATGGAGGTCTATGTGGATGATATGCTGGTCAAATCCCATGTTGCTTCAGATCATATAGCTCATCTCGCCGAGATGTTTGATATCTTCCGACTATACAGAATGAAGCTAAACCCCCTCAAGTGCTCGTTCGGAGTATCTTCGGGAAAATTCCTAGGATACATGGTTAACCAACGGGGAATAGAGATTAACCCTGAGAAAATTCAAGCTCTTCTCAATATGGCAAGCCCGACCAGCAAAAAACAGGTCATGAGCCTTAATGGGCGAATAGCGGCGCTAAGTCGCTTCATATCGAGGTTAACAGATCGCTGTTTGCCATTCTTCAATGTTCTAAAGGCCAATAAAAAGTTTGAGTGGACTACCGAGTGCGAACAGGCATTCCAAAGTATTAAAGAACACCTCGAGAAGCCATCTCTCCTGTCCAAGCCTCTCTCGCAAGAGATCCTCCTCCTGTACCTGTCCGTTTCTCAGTTCGCGGTCAGTGCAGCCTTAGTTCGGGAAGAGGAGAAGGTCCAATGACCAATGTATTACGCGAGCAAGCATCTGTTGGATGCCGAAATGCGATATCTGGAAATGGAAGATTAGCCTATACCCTGCTGATCGCTTCCAGAAAGTTGCGACCTTACTTCCACGCCCATACGATCCATGTAATGACTAATTATCCACTCAGGCAGGTCCTCCAGAAGCTAGAGGCGTCGGGTAAATTGCTTAAATGGGTCATGGAATTGAGTTAGTTCGATCTGAAGTACAAACCAAGATCGACTATCAAAGGGCAGGCCGTGGCTGACTTCATATCAGAATTCTCATATCTTCCAAGTGAGTTGGGGCAACAGCCCGGCGAAGCCATTCAGGAAATTGCTCAG